ATACTTATAGATAACAGTGACATATGATACTGTATGAGATATAACATTTACAATAAAGTTCACTACCATGTATACATATTACATAAGTACATAAATAATTAAAATATATCAATAGAAGTAAATTATGTTAAAGAGAATGAAATAATGATTGTACATTACATTACAGTACTATATAGGTAGTTTAGGAAAGGTTTGACATTATGCCCTACCCAGTATGTCAGCAATTTTCAAAGGTTCGACTTACGTCCATTTTGACTTACGACCGGTTGGTCGGAACCAAGCTTGGTCGTAAGTCAGATGATACCTGTACTTTGCACTTCTTTATAAACAGAGCATTCCATGAATCTGGTCCAGGTTCTGAGTGAGTGGGCATGTTTTCCATTTCTTTTTTGAAAACTATGGGATTTGTACTAACGTCAGTTAGTTGGTCTACACGGCCTTCTTCTGGAGTGAAAAGTATTTCTGCATTTTCTACCTTGCTGTCATTTAGCGCATTGCTGAACACCGACTCATACTGTTCTTTTAGGATTTCACTTATTTCCTGTTCATCATCAGTATACGAGTCTCCTCTCAGTAGTGGTCCAATTCTACAGGTAGTTCTTAGCTTAGATTTTGCATAGGAATAGAAATATGTATTTTGGGTTTCTTGCAATATCCTGTATGGCCCTTTGTTCCCTTTGTACTTCTTCTGTGAGGTATGACATCCTAAGTTTTTGCTCTAATTCAGTGATCTCTCGGCTAAGTCTATCTTTCTTCTGTTATAGCATACTATTGTGTTTTTAAGCAATTCAGTAACCCGTTTTCTTCTTCTGTACCATCTCCTACACTCTCTCTCTATATCTGATCTTCTGGGTTTCCTCAATAGTACGTGTTTCATACATACCTTGTATGCTTCTGTATTCAGCTTCTCTAGGCACTGGTGGGGATTTAGGTCGCTCATGTCTGATTTCCAGGGTATGTCTGATAGCTCTTGGTTTATTTTTTCCCAGTCAATTTTATGGTTGTTAAAATTAAACTTGCTGAACATCCCATCTCTAACATTAGTGATGCAGTTTCTTAACCCTGAGTTAATACTCGTTTGAACCTCTATGATGTTATGATCAGAGTATATTGTTTTTGTAACTGTTATGTCTCTGATCAGTTCCTCATTGTTTGTGAATATCAAATCCAGGATATTTTCATTTCTAGTGGGATCAATTACCTGTTGGTTTAAAGAGTACTTTTCACAAAGCCTCATTAGTTCCCTGGTATGTACCTGTTGAGCCAGGGTGCTTCCCGGAGATATTTCTGGTATAACATTACATTGCGCCATCTTCCATTTTACATGAGGGAGATTAAAATCTCCAAGGAGTAAAATATTTGGTGTGGGATTTTCTAGTCTATCCAGATGGCTATCTATCTTCCTTAGCTGATCTGTGAATTCCTCAGCAGTTGCTGATAGTGGTTTGTATACTAGGATAATTACCAAATTCCTATTTTCAACTTTAATGCCTAGAATTTCTACTATATCATACGTAGAGTTCAGCACTTCTGTGCAACAGAAAGTATCTTTTACATAGATTCCTACTCCTCCCTGTGGCCTATTGATTCTATCACATCTATACATGTTGTAGTTTTCTATCTTTATCTCTCCGTCCAAAGCATCCCTTGTGTGTGTTTCTGTAAATGCTCCGAACATGGCATTCGCTTCTGTTAGGAGCCCACTGACATAACTAACTTTGTCACTTTTATTTGATTTCAAACCCTGAATATTTGCAAATATGAAGCAGGAATTACCATTTGGGATGTTTTGTCTCACTTTGTGCTTCATTAGTACCACTGGTGATGTACTACCTGGTATGTCCCCTGGTGTACATGCCCCTGGTTTCTCCAGTACTGGCTTTGCGTTTGGTTGCTTATTCTGCCTTGATGGGCTAACGCCTGGTTTGGTACGCCCCATTTTACCGCCCACCTGTCCTCCCTGTACCATTCCCCCTGCTTGTCTCTTCCTTTGGTTCAATTTTTTCTCTTTTTGTCTAAAAAAAGATTGCTGGTCAATTTCCCTTTCTCTGCTAACTCTGTAGTGCCGTGTTCCTTTTATATGGTGGTCTGGGCAGCTCAGGTCATAACATTCACACACATTAACATTCATATACATTACTGGATGGAAGTACCTGCACTCTTTGTTGAAACGACACTTTCCCTTCAACATGTTGGCACATTTTCTGGTGTGTTTATTCCAGCAATCTCTGCCATATAGGCACATACCCTGTGCATAGCATCTGCAAATGTTCTGACTACCTATACCTACTGATTTTGTGTCATTCCCAAGTTCTGCCACCTGATCTGAGTTCTCTTGTTCACTTTCTTCTAGGCTAATTTCTTCCCTTTTCTCGTTTTCATTTGTACCTGCTCTAGCTTTCTCATCCTCCCTTTCCCTTTCCTTTCTGCTATGTTATGTATCCTTGTTTCAATCTTTTATGATTTGCTCTGTATGACATTTTCCACTCTTACTTTCACTCCTTGGTTTTCACCTCTATTTGCACTTTCCTCCTTTTCTTGCTCCTTTTGCACTATTGCCCACTCTTTGTATAACTCTGGCAAGCCTTAGAAACTTCCTTACGCTTTCTAGATTTTCACTCTTCAGTAGTTCTCTTATGTTTAACCAGCTGTCTCTCTCAGTGGGGCAAATCCAGAAATTACTTTCTTGTTTTAGGTCATTTGTCATGGATGCATGAAGCTTTGTACATGATATATGTGATATTTTACCACATATTTCACAATTAATGCCCCTCATGTTTCTCCCCAAAAAATTTTCACATATACAACAGACTTTATTCCTGGCCATGATCACTTTTAAGCAGGTGTATATGGTGGATGGTGAGTTATTATGCGTGGGCTGGGAGGTGGGGTGGCTGGTAGGTGAGGGCTGGGCGGTGGGTATCCTTGGGTAGAGGGTAGGGATGATAGGAGGAGGGGGATGTGCGGTGGGGTGTGGCAAGGTTGCAATGAGGGTGCGATGAGGGAGGCCAGGGGATGGGATTGTTGGATGGGTGGTGTAGGATCTGCGGAATAGGGTGGGGGGCACGTGGCGGGGGCTGGGAGGTGGGGTGCACATGGCACTTGCGCACTTGTTCCCATATAAGTACACCATAGACTGTACACTACACTCAGGATTAAAAAGGATTAACTCTTATTCACAAATTCAGTTCACTATATCACTGCCTATTCATATACTTTTTCCTTGTTATAACACTTGTACGATAGTTTACACTTCACTGTCACCTCTGGCAATAATTTTTCGCTGGTGATGGTCGACCCATGAATATATTCCACATATTATGCACTATGTATTGTGGTATTTGCCAGATTGCTGTAATCCACAATTTAAGATCACTATGTCACTGAACATCAATACCTCGTCATTCACTATATTCCTTACATGAGATGAGAAACAATCCTTCAGTATAAAAATGACCCACTGTGTGGTAACACCTGTAGGACTAGTTCAAAACCCGCTCTCCTCACTTTTATTAATCATAATATCTTATATTCTCCTGTGGGCTTAACAGTAGACCTTTCTCGTTTCTTAACTTTTCTGCATATAAAAAAATATAACAGACAAGAAGCAATGAACTACAGGCCAGTATCTTTAATATGCATACTGTCAAAAGTCCTAGAGAAGATATCAAGCAAAAACAATACAGGAGAAATTGGAGAGAAGACAATTTCTTATAGAAAACTAGCATGTATTTAAGGATGGAAAATCCTGTCTTAAAAATTTGGCGGAGTTTACAAGAGTCAGAGATAAAACAAGAAAGACAGAGCTGGTCTGATTACATCTTGGACTGTCACCAGTAAGGAATAGGACATCAGAATGGGAAAGGATAATGTGTGGATTTCTGCAGAGACCAATACTAGGAGCACTACTGTTCCTAATATATGTGAATGACCTACCAGAGAGGATCAAGTCCTAATGTCACTGCTTGTGGACAACACAAAACTTATGAGAAGAATAAGAACAAGATACGCTACGCTGGTGATATCCTCAGTGGCTTCTAGAGTTCAACCTGAACAAATGTAAGAAGTCATGCGAAATGGAGAAAGTGAGGGCAGAACAAACACGAAGTACAGAATGGGCAGAGAGAAGTTTCAAGTAACAAAAGTAAAGAGGGCCTGGAGGTGAATATAACACCAAACATATCACCAGAAAAACAAACTGTAAAACATCAGTAGCATATGCAAGATTGGCATACCTCAGAGCAGTAATCAGGAACTTCAATAAAGAACCCTTCAGAACATCATGTACTCCTACTGCTTGTCTATTTAATCAAAAGTATTTATAAGCTCTTCCAAATCTTCAAAATTCCCTGACTCATCAAAATTTAATACATATTTAATGAATCATAAAAAAAAATAAGAAATCACTACTGCAAGATAATAAGCTCTCCTGGAAACACAAGCTTTTTTCTTCCTGATAAAAAATGAATAAATAGTGGGTCTGCTTAATTTTCATTACAAGTAATACATGCTAATTCAAGAACCAAGGTCCAAGAGATTTGGTGTAAAAGGAAAAAAACGTCCTTATGCACCTAGAGAGATGTGATATGATTGATGTTTTAATGTACAGAAAACATAAAACAGAGGATATTTGTGCTTTGTAATTTCCTTTCAAACTGTAATAATGGAAGATCAAGATGATGTACTGGTGTTAAAAATCCTAGAAATTTGTCAGCTCTTCACTCCATAACATTGGAAAAAGACAGAGTTGGCTTTATTAAATCACAAACAACCTTGTTTGTGACCTGATAAAGCTCACTATGTGGATGAAATGGTATCAATAAAGATTTGAATTATACTACATTTTCTTTTTTCAATGTTGGGAAGCAGACACACTTATAGAATAATAATTAAAACAATTAAAGAAAGTCCTTGTAATTTAGTAATTTAAAATAGCAGTGCATACACAAGGAAATTATTGATAATATTAAAGTACAAAAGATAAAAGACTAAAAACTTACTGGTGGTGGAGTGTAATGGCGGGGGTTTTGCTGTGAGTAGTTCTCTTTGGCTCTGAAGAAATAATGTGCAGTCTCGATGCTGGCCCAATAGGCTTTCATCTATTTTCCTTTCAGTCAGATCTATAACCTGAATTTTAAAGAAAAAATTAAAATAAGGATTCACAATTGCATTAATTATTATTAACATCATAACAGAATATCATCAAGGGGCAAGTAACCCCTTCTCCTGTATATATTACTAAATGTAAAAGGAGAAACTTTCATTTTTCCTTTTGGGCCACCCCGCCTCGGTGGGATATGGCCGGTGTGTTGAAAGAAAGAAAGAACAGAATATCATAGCTAAAAAGTAAAATACTGTAACTGTCTTACATCCCTCTAAGTATTTGTCTTATTTTTGCATTCAATTTACTGTATGTGTCAATCACATTTCTGTAAAAGAGAAGTGAAAAACTATGTAGCTAACTCGTGAGAAAAGAATTACAGGACTTTTAATTACAATACATGTAAAGGCCTAACCATTTCTTAAAAGTATATAGTATATAATAAAAAAGTAGTAACTTAAATATAATGAATTAATATACAGTACTACTGCATTCTACTTTTAATGAAAAAGACAAATTAACAGAAAAAAGGTTACTTGTCAAATATTCAAGGTAAATATATACACAATTTCTAAGATCTAAATAACATTGTGCCAACTACTCTTTCCAAAATTCTAAATGGAAAGCAAACATTAGTACAGTAGCCACCCATTAAAAAGTAACAGTACATACGCGTTATCTGCAACATGTCACACTAAAAGATATTAATGTATATTTAATAATGTATCCTAACACTCCGTTAAGCCTATTCCAGTTATGAACTAATGAGATGTAAAAATTACACCAGGTCTTGAAGATCTACAGTAACTCCAGCACAACTTATTTCCTTTCACACCTGCCTTGTTATACATCACCCATCTCTCACACTACATGATCTTATTCCCATGACAGTGTACTTGTACAAACTGCATAACCATCATTAAACATACACTGTTTGTGCCTGTATCACCTCCAGGTAGTAAACCAACTGGCCCTGATCATCATATAAGTCTTTCTGTGGCAAAAATCAAAGGAAGACTTCTTTCTCTTCCTACCCCACTGAGCATTCTTTGGTTATAATGGCAGTTCTTGATCTTATGAATAACTCCTAAAGAGTTATGAAGCAAAACTTTGCTATGTAAAGTTTTATTTCCCCTAAATGCAATGTTATAATTGTGACTTGAAAATTACCAAAAAGATAAGAATTCAAATTTTGTTGCCTGAAACAAACATATAAACACTGGAAACATTAGATTATGCCATAACCACTGGAAACCCTACTGTAACTCAAGCTCAGGCTCGAATCTCCACTAGGTTTAAGACCAGATGGAGCCAAGTTTGATCATACATCCAGATATGAAAATGCTATCAACTTCTTCAATAATTTCACTCTAATATCACTATAGATAAAGAAAAAAAAGAAACTTTCCTTCTCAAAAATTCAGGATTTATCCTTGAGGGCAGTGGCCACAGGTGATGCAGATAAATTAAGCTCTGACTGGTATCATAATTTTGCAATCCAAAAAAAATCTTTAAAAATCAAAAAATCTTTCAAAGATGCATAACAGAGAAAGGGTGCAATTACATGTTTGTGTTTTTGATCAAAAGGGATTTTAGATGCATGAGTTCACATTCAGTGGTAAGCCAAGCATGGAGAACATGCTCCATTACAGAATTTCATCTGAGCAAAATTTCATAATGTAAATCTTAATAAAGAAAGGAATGATTCTACTTTCACTGTACCACTATCTAGTGGTCTGCTCTTATTTTTTCCATCTACATATTAACTTTGCAATAAATGTTATTCATTCTCTGGCTGTCTTTTCCTTGTATATAGTGCATATGTTGAGCTTCTTAAGCAACAGCCAAACAAGCCATCCTATTAACTGCAGAAGGTGTCCTGTGGCTTAGATGGCAGTGCACTTAGCTCACAAACTGAGTGTCCATGGTTCAATCCACAGCATGGGTGGAAACACTAAGCTGCCCTTGTTCATCTAGCAGTACTTAGGTACTTGGGTGCTAGTCAACTATTGTAGATCACTACCCATGGGGTGGTAGTTTACCTTAGACAGAGCTGGGTCTTGAAATGAGCTGATGTAAGACAAAATGATTTAAAAAAAAAAAAATGGATGGGGCTCAAATCCCTGGCAAGCTAGTCTTAGAAACTACCATTCTGTAATTTGTTTGCAATCATGTTATTATAATTTTGCAAGTCAGAAGCCATACTAACATAAAAATAAAAAATCTACAGTTTTCTTTAAGAATTTATAAATAAATTAGCAATTGGGCCATCTCCCCCTTAAAGTAAGGTGACCCAACAAGGAAGAAAACACTTTAATTGTTACTCAGTCGTTGCCTTGCCAGACGTACAATGACTAAAAGCTTGGAGTCATCTGAACTGCAATGCTAGCATGCTTCTGGCAAGACGATGATTGAGTGACAGTGAAAGTGTTTTCTTCTTTGTTGGGTCACCCTACCTTGGTGGGAGACAGCTGGTGTCAAAAAGAAAATGCATGTACAGCAGACACCCAAGTTACGACATTAACATGTTCCCAAAAATTTACTAACTCAACTGTTCGGTACTCACAACCCATTTCCTGTAGGAACCCATGTTATAATGGAATAATGTATTCCAGAGCCATAATACTACTTCTAATTTCTGTTATTTTTTAAAAGAGTTTTTAAACATTTTACATTCAGTTCAGTTCCTTTCCCCTTCAGTAGTATTAAACACTGTTTACTGAATGTGTTTGTTTTTTACACACCAGCCATCTCCCACCGAGGCAGGATGACCCAAAAAAGAAGAAATGCTTACATAAAGTTTTTCTTCTTTTCACATTTGGTAATGTATACAGGAGAAGGGGTTACTAGCCCTTTACTCCCAGCATTTTAGTCGCCTCTTACAACACACATGGCTTATGGAAGAAGAATTCTTCTCCACATACACATACATACATACTACATTCATACATAAACAGTAAGCTTTCTCATAAAGTGTTGTTTTTAGCAAATGCATCTCAAAAAGTTCATCCAAAATTTAACAGCACATGAACATTCCTTCTTAATATTTGCTAATCCATTCTGGATGGGCTCTCTCAATTGCATTTGCAAAAAATGCACTAAATAGAATCTCACCAAGCTAGGTTAATAAAGAAAAAAAAATCACCAGTGTTCACTCAATCACTGTCCTGCCAGAAGTGGGCAGACATCACAATTCAAATGACCCTCCAAAATTCACCATCTCTATCTCTCCATCAGCAGAGTGCAAGCACTGTACTTCCCACCTTCAGGATTAATCCTTAAACTGTCCAAAGATAGATATACGTTGACATGCGGCAGGTTCCAAACGTAGATCTACGTTTTTTTTACATGCTTTCAAATGGGGAAAATCAAGGTCAGAGCGCTACGCACGTGAATGTAGATCTACGTTTGGATAGTTTAAGGGTTAAAGTCCAGCTGACCAGTTTTCCCTAAATTATTTATTTTTTATTATCACACTGGCCGATTCCCACCAAGGCAGGGTGGCCCGAAAAAGAAAAACTTTCACCATCATTCACTCCATCACTGTCTTGCCAGAAGGGTGCTTTACACTACAGTTTTTAAACTGCAACATTAACACCCCTCCTTCAGAGTGCAGGCACTGTACTTCCCATCTCCAGGACTCAAGTCCGGCCTGCCGGTTTCCCTGAACCCCTTCATAAATGTTACTTTGCTCACACTCCAACAGCACGTCAAGTATTAAAAACCATTTGTCTCCATTCACCCCTATCAAACACGCTCACGCATGCCTGCTGGATGTCCAAGCCCCTCGCACACAAAACCTCCTTTACCCCCTCCCTCCAACCTTTCCTAGGCCGACCCCTACCCCGCCTTCCTTCCACTACAGACTGATACACTCTTGAAGTTATTCTGTTTCGCTCCATTCTCTCCACATGTCCGAACCACCTCAACAACCCTTCCTCAGCCCTCTGGACAACAGTTTTGGTAATCTCGCACCTCCTCCTAACTTCCAAACTACGAATTCTCTGCATTATATTCACACCACACATTGCTCTCCAGCCTTCTCCTCGCTGCAACATTCATCACCCATGCTTCAAACCCATATAAGAGCGTTGGTAAAACTATACTCTCTAAATCTCCCTAAATCCCTAAATCCTTTCATAAATCTTAACTTACTCATACCCCCAAGAGTACATCAAGCCATAGAAACCACTCATCACCACTCACTCTGATCTAACATGCTCACAAAAGCCTGCTTGATGCACTCAAAACCTCCTTTACCCCATATTTTTCCTTTTCTTGGGGGGGCAAAATTTGATATATCAGTAGTGTGCTGCTACACTATTCTATAAGACTATTACACAGTGGGAACATTAGCTAACTCTTTTTTCCTGTCATATTCCATCATGCAGGATGAGACTCAAAGTACTGAAATCTATCAGCCAGAATGCAACAGGGCAATGAGAATGTCATTAATTATTCCATTAATGGTTTATCAGTTATTGGATCTTTAAAGATTGCCTTCCAGCATAGTTAGTTACTATCATTAGGAATTACCCTCTCTCAGGATGGCCTATTCTATGCACAGGAGAAATGGAACTTTCTGAACATATGTCCACACTTTCCACCACCCCAGATTTATACACCCTCTTACTCATCCTCTTCTGCTTTTTGCTCTCTTTATAAATGCCCAAAGCACCTCATCAACTCCTCCTCACCCTTCTGAATTATACCTATGGTAACCCCCTACCATTTTTTACTCTCTAAGCTCCAAATTCTCTTCATGATACAGGTAATCACACTACACCTTGCTCTCGGACATGACATCTTCAAAGAATGTACACACACACAAACACATGTTTATAATACACAGGAGTGTCTTTTAATATTATGTTTTAGTTCAATTCTACATACACATGTTATAGACAGTAATATCAATGGCAGGTTTAGGAGTAAAAGGATGCTCTTTAATAAGGCAAACAAGTGTACATAACAGGAGGCATTATTTACTTGGGCAACAAGAAGACTCACCTCTGGTTCTTCTTCATGCAGTGCCTCCTCCTCCTCCTCCTACATGCCAAGAGGGTAGCACAGGAAAAGGACAAGACACACCATTAGTCATGAAAAGAGTGTACACCCCACAGGTTACTGCATGTCATACACCATACAAGGACACACCACCATTCATTACTGAGGCAGAAAATTATGACATGCTACACAAATTCTAGTGTCTCAAGTTACTTGTTCCTTCTGTACTGTTATTCTCAGCTGTACTCTGCCTTGTATTTTATAGTTCAAGCTCTCTCTCATATTGTCATATACAGTAAAACATCAATTTAGTGAACCCAATTTTAAGGTATTTTGGATTTAATGAACAAAATCTGTCCATTAAATTTGAAATGTCTTAAATTTGGGCTCACTGAATCTGTGGCCAGACAATGTCCAGAAGCAAGAAACAAAGTCCTTTACGATCATGTAAAAATAATGTCACCATCTGGATTACACAAGCAACAAGCATTAACAGATCCCCCCTCTCCACATTATGGTAATCCATTTAATCAAGGTTTCACTGTACTGATGCACTTTAAAAATAGTTTGCATTATTTGACCACCCAAAATGCATTTTATTTTTATATTTTATGTCATTATTCCTGACTTTTTTTATTGTATATGTTTAGTAATAAAAAACATTTTGATTTAAATAAAAGAGTATGGTCACATCTAAAAAATTCACCTTGCCATATTCATAATCTACCTATGAAGCATGTTTACTTCATTGCTTATTTCAAGATAATGTTCAATACATCCAACAGCCTGATTGATCTGGTCATCACCCAGGAGACTTAGTCTGGGATCGGCCGTGGTGACAGTGATACTACCTCGGTATCATTTAAGGGTAATTGTCTGAGTAACTGGATGTCCTTTTTTGTATATGTACCTATATATATCTTAAAGGCTGGCATTTTCACTAAAAGAAATACTAACAAATAAATACCTTTAATAGAACTGATTATCATCTAAGATAAATAATTCAATAACTGTTGCTATGTAGTTATATCTTCTTACTAGCACTTGCAGAGCATATGTACATTCTTGAGAACAGTCACAGTTCATTCATATTTTCTTGCGAAGGTTCAAAGTATTCTGGTCTTCAAAATACAGTGGACCCTCAGGTAACAAATGCATCGCTTAATGTTAAATCCGCCTTACAAAGTGTTTGAGCATAAAAATTTTGGCCTAGTTAACAATAAAAAACTTGCCCGATGTGATTCATCCTGAACCTGCCCAGCCTGAGCGCCTCAGCTGCCTTGCCGTCATTGTTTACAAGCCAGGGTGGCCGGTTTCATGCATACATTCGATACATTTTGTATTATTCCATTGTTTATAGTGCTTGTAACTGCTAAATAAGCCACCATGGGCCCAAAGAAAGCTTATAGTGCCAATCCTGTGGTAAAAAGGGTGAGAAATATTATCAAAATACTATCGTACCACGGTCAGCTGCTGCTGCACCACTGTCAGCTGTTGCTGCACCACCGTCAGCTGTACTACTTGAAGATATGGAGAGACTGTTGTTGGTGTGGTTTAACAAGAAACAATTACTGAGAAACAATTAACCCCAGAGGGTTAGCCACCCAGGATAACCCAAGAAAGTCAGTGAATCATTGGGGACTCTGTAACTTATTCCCATTGGGGTCCTTAATCTTGTCCCCCAGGATAAGACCCACACCAGTCGACTAACACCCAGGTGAACAGGAAAAAATGCCTGGAACTAGTGTTCATATTGGTGAATTTAAGGCCAGCAAAGGTTAGTTTGAGAGATTTAAGAATCGTAGTGGCACACACAGTGTGATAAGGCATGGCAAAGCTGAAAAATCCCAACCCCAACAAGTGTTCAATTGTGACGAAACAGGCCTGTTCTGGAAGAAAATGCCAAACAGGACCTACATTACTAAGGAGGAAAAGGCACTCCCAGGACACAAGCCTATGAAAGATAGGCTAACTTTCTTATTCTGTTGTAATGCTAGTGGGGATTGCAAAGTGAAGTCTTTATTCATGTTATTATTTATTATTTTTTTTATTATCACACTGGCCGATTCCCACCAAGGCAGGGTGGCCCGAAAAAGAAAAACTTTCACCATCATTCACTCCATCACTGTCTTGCCAGAAGGGTGCTTTACACTACAGTTTTTAAACTGCAACATTAACACCCCTCCTTCAGAGTGCAGGCACTGTACTTCCCATCTCCAGGACTCAAGTCCGGCCTGCCGGTTTCCCTGAATCCCTTCATAAATGTTACTTTGCTCACACTCCAACAGCACGTCAAGTATTAAAAACCATTTGTCTCCATTCACTCCTATCAAACACGCTCACGCATGCCTGCTGGAAGTCCAAGCCCCTCGCACAAAAAACCTCCTTTACCCCCTCCCTCCAACCTTTCCTAGGCTGACCCTACCCCGCCTTCCTTCCACTACAGACTGATACACTCTTGAAGTCATTCTGTTTCGCTCCATTCTCTCTACATGTCCGAACCACCTCAACAACCCTTCCTCAGCCCTCTGGACAACAGTTTTGGTAATCCCGCACCTCCTCCTAACTTCCAAACTACGAATTCTCTGCATTATATTCACACCACACATTGCCCTCAGACATGACATCTCCACTGCCTCCAGCCTTCTCCTCGCTGCAACATTCATCACCCACGCTTCACACCCATATAAGAGCGTTGGTAAAACTATACTCTCATACATTTCCCTCTTTGCCTCCAAGGGCAAAGTTCTTTGTCTCCACAGACTCCTAAGTGCACCACTCACTCTTTTTCCCTCATCAATTCTATGATTCACCTCATCTTTCATAGACCCATCCGCTGACACGTCCACTCCCAAAATATCTGAATACGTTCACGTCCTCCATACTCTCTCCCTCCAATCTGATATCCAATCTTTCATCACCTAATCTTTTTTTTATCCTCATAACCTTACTCTTTCCTGTATTCACCTTTAATTTTCTTCTTTTTCACACCCTACCAAATTTTATCCACCAATCTCTGCAACTTCTCTTCAGAATCTCCCAAGAGCACAGTGTCATCAGCAAAGAGCAGCTGTGACAACTCCCACTTTGTGTGTGATTCTTTATCTTTTAACTCCACGCCTCTTGCCAAGACCCTCGCATTTACTTCTCTTACAACCCCATCTATAAATATATTAAACAACCACGTGACATCACACATCCTTGTCTAAGGCCTACTTTTACTGGGAAAAAATTTCCCTCTTTCCTACATACTCTAACTTGAGCCTCACTATCCTCGTAAAAACTTTTCACTGCTTTCAGTAACCTACCTCCTACACCATACACTTGCAACATCTGCCACATTGCCCCCCTATCCACCCTGTCATACACCTTTTCCAAATCCATAAATGCCATAAAGACCTCTTTAGCCTTATCTAAATACTGTTCACTTATATGTTTCACTGTAAACACCTGGTCCACACACCCCCTACCTTTCCTAAAGCCTCCTTGTTCATCTGCTATCCTATTCTCCGTCTTACTCTTAATTCTTTCAATAATAACTCTACCATACACTTTACCAGGTATACTCAGCAGACTTATCCCCCTATAATTTTTGCACTCTCTTTTATCCCCTTTGCCTTTATACAAAGGAACTATGCATGCTCTCTGCCAATCCCTAGGTACCTTACCCTCTTCCATACATTTATTAAATAATTGCACCAACCACTCCAAAACTATATCCCCACCTGCTTTTAACATTTCTATCTTTATCCCATCAATCCCGGCTGCCTTACCCCCTTTCATTTTACCTACTGCCTCACGAACTTCCCCCACACTCACAACTGGCTCTTCCTCACTCCTACAAGATGTTATTCCTCCTTGCCCTATACACGAAATCACAGCTTCCCTATCTTCATCAACATTTAACAATTCCTCAAAATATTCCCTCCATCTTCCCAATACCTCTAACTCTCCATTTAGTAACTCTCCTCTCCTATTTTTAACTGACAAATCCATTTGTTCTCTAGGCTTTCTTAACTTGTTAATCTCACACCAAAACTTTTTCTTATTTTCAACAAAATTTGTTGATAACATCTCACCCACTCTCTCATTTGCTCTCTTTTTACATTGCTTCACCACTCTCTTAACCTCTCTCTTTTTCTCCATATACTCTTCCCTCCTTGCATCACTTCTACTTTGTAAAAACTTCTCATATGCTAACTTTTTCTCTTTACATCATCATTCCACCAATCGCTCCTCTTCCCTCCCGCACCCACTTTCCTGTAACCACAAACTTCTGCTGAACACTTTAACACTACATTTTTAAACCTACCCCATACCTCTTCGACCCCATTGCCTATGCTCTCATTAGCCCATCTATCCTCCAATAGCTGTTTATATCTTACCCTAACTGCCTCCTCTTTTAGTTTATAAACCTTCACCTCTCTCTTCCCTGATGTTTCTATTCTCCTTGTATCCCATCTACCTTTTACTCTCAGTGTAGCTACAACTAGAAAGTTATCTGATATATCTGTGGCCCCTCTATAAACATGTACATCCTGAAGTCTACTCAACAGTCTTTTATCTACCAATACATAATCCAACAAACTACTGTCATTTTGCCCTACATCATATCTTGTATACTTATTTATCCTCTTTTTCTTAAAATATGTATTACCTATAACTAAACCCCTTTCTATACAAAGTTCAATCAAAGGGCTCACTCTGAAAATCCCAGTGTTCAAGAAAAACAGTGTCTCATCACTCATCAATACTCTTCAATAAAGTTAAGTGTCATTTTAACATTTATTTATATAGTTATTGTGCATGTCTCATTGTTTTCTTTGTAGGGAAATGTATATTTCATGAAAAAAATAATTTTTTTTTAATACTTTTGTCTGTCTGGAATGGATTAATTGGATTTCCATTATTTCTTACGGGGAAAATTAATTCGGCTAATGATAATTTCGTCTAACGCTGAGCTCTCAGGAATGGATTAATATCGTTAGCTGAGGGTCCACTGTAGTTGAAGAGTATTCTAGTAGAGCATTTTATCTAGGCAT